GAGAGAGCGAGAGAGCGAGAGAGCGAGAGAGCGAGAGAGCGAGAGAGCGAGAGAGCGAGAGAGCGAGAGAGCGAGAGAGCGAGAGAGCGAGAGAGCGAGAGAGCGAGAGAGAGAGAGAGCGAGAGAGCGAGAGAGCGAGAGAGCGTGGTCCGTCACAGGGCTGTCAGTTGATTACATCCACCCTTGCCATGCTTATTAAAGAATAAATGATGCCCAGTTCATGGATGATTTGTTCTATTGACTTCAGTTCAGATCCAGTTCACAAAACCAGTCTGAATGATTTGTTCACAAACTGAACTGATCCAGTTCTTGAGTTTGACTCTGTGATGTGCTCTCAACAGCTGATTAGTGAAGGAAGACATTTTGGTCCGTTTGAGATACAAAGCATCATATGACTCCAGAAGCTTTTGAATATAGTTGTATGAATCACTCTAATACTAATATGTTTATGGTGCTTTTATGATGTGTTTTGGGGTGTCCATGCCATATTCTTTGTAACTGCATAGAAAAGAACAACCAGAACACAACTTCAAAAATTTAGTTCAAAAACATTTTAAAATGTCTCCTTTTAGGATCCATAGAAAGTCATTCAGGTTTGAAATGACACAAGGGTGAGTAATTAAAGGCACAATATGTAATTTTCGCCGATGGAGGGCGCGCATTCAAAATAAACAAAGAGACAAAGGCGTAGTTTGATGACGCCGTGACTGAGTGTTGAATCATGGTCTTTGAGTTGTGGTCTTCATCCCCACAGCCGATGCAATCCGACGGGACTCGGACAGAAATCCAAAATCTTACATATTGTGCCTTTAATGACAGAATTATCTTTTCCCATGCTCCTTCCCATTTCACACGATTAGATACTGTGACCTTGAGAATCTTTGTAGGTTTTAGCAAGGATTTAAAAAAAAAAAACTATTTAAACTGTAATAATAGCTCCACATTTAACAAAGCACATACAAAAGACCTGAACCAGAAACAATGTGACCTGTTTTACAGAATATGGAAGTTTGTTATGCATAACCCCCCTTGAAAGTAAAGTAAAGTAAAGTGTTCAGTGACTGTTATGGAAGATTGAAACACTTGTGGCATCAAATCTCAGGTTCGCAGTGAAATACTGTTTTATCAACAACAACAAAAATGCAATACAGGAGAAATCATCTCTCAGACTTTTTTTTAATAAGTTATTTAATAAGTTATGTTGCTTGTGGTCCTTCTGAATTTAATCTGAGACTGCTTGTCTTCTTGCCCTTGCCCTTCCCATTCCTCTTCCTCTTCCATGTTGTCGTCGTCCTCCTCCTCCTCCTTCTCCTTCTCCTTCTCTTCCTCTTCCTCCTCTTCCTCTCCGTACACCTCCTCCACCTCCTACACTCCCTTTTCCTTCAGTTCTTCCTCCACTCCCTCCTCCTCCTCTCTGGTGTCCTTGACCTCTTCCTTCACGTCTCTTTGGGGCCATTGTTTCAAACCTGAATGAGCTGACTTTGGCCCCTTTATCTATCCATCGAAGGTTCTGATTGGTGTGTGATCAATTTTGACTCCTAGTGTTTCCACCAGGGTAATTGTGTGCTAATTGAGCTCAAGCTGTGCTGACTTGAGTGAACAATATTGAATGCTAGTGCTTTCTAAATGACCACATGGTGTAAGCACTGAGAAATGTAGGGATTTGTGTGTAGAGTTTTGCAGTGACAGTTCACCAAATCTGACTCATGTGTCAAAGCAGGGGAATAGTGTTTATAGTTTAGGGAAATGGGTGTGCTTTTTTTTTTTTAATAGCGTTGAAATTTTTGTTCAAAATCCTGGTTATAGTGTTTTCGCAATCGAGAAAACTGTAAGATAAACTGTGATTTATGTGTAAATGTATATAGATCTTGCATGCTGCTTGAGAAGCAGCTTCTGTGTTGCCTTCACAGTCAACAGAAAAATGATCAATCTAATTTATGATAAATGATTTGCATTCTGGATGGAACCAATCTGTGCTCTGGCTATGGATCACAGTCCAGTAAATGCTGACCTATGGTATGAGTGTGTGTGTGTGTGTGAGCCTGCAGGACTGCAGTGTACCTGTAGATGGCGCTGTGTTCCTGAGCGTAGGAGGCCCGGAGCAGCAGACGCTCAATGTTGTTGAGGACGCTGTGGAAGTCTCTCTTACTGACGGGCAGTCTTGAGGCGTGATGCAGAAAGCTTTCAGGCAGTAGATCTATCCTGCGCTCAGTTGTGGAGAACGGATACACCACGACCCCAGAGCTGTTGTCAATCATCCTCAGCCCGCCGCCCTGGAGAAAGAGGAACACATCAAGCCTTCCTCCTGTCCGTTATCACATCAGGTGCAAAACTGCTGTTGTTTAGTAAATTACACACTGGCTAAAGAACAAAGAAACAGTAGCATTTATGTGTGCATGTTTACATGGCTATGCACTTAGCTTAACAATTTGTCCCTATAATTGAGTGAATAACAAAACCATGTAGTCTATAATGATTAATCAGCTTAATAATCAGCTTTATATACAAGAAGTCTTTGTATGTTCTCAAATTAAGTAATTGTGTATGTGTGTGGGTTTACTTATGTGTGTGTGTGTGTGTGTGTGTGTGTAGTATGTGTGTGTGGTGTGTAGTATGTGTGTGTGTGTGTGTGTGTCAAATAAGGTGATATATGAAGAGACGTGTGATGAGTGTATAAAGGATGAGAGAGATTGTTTTGATGGAAGGAGGAATATTTTCAGGAAATTATGTCTAATAAATTGTGAAGAATTGTGCAAGTGTGTGTGTGTGTGTGTGTGTGTGTTATGTGTGTGCATGCATTGATGCAATAACAGGTAACCCATACATCTCCGCTCTGACATTGTGAGCGGACTCATCCTAGAGCATTATGGGATGGGATTCATTCGGCTCGTTTATTTACCACCCCACCACACTGACTGCTGCGAAAATCAGGCTTTATTGACATGCACAAGCACAAACACACACACACACACAAACACCGCTAGAAGATTGAGGATTTATGGGAGCTGGACTCTCTATTTGCACAGATTTAATGAGGTATGCACATGCAAAACAGGGCTTAACGAACAATAATTACCTGTCATACACACATGAGCACAGGAGCACACACACACACACACACACACACACACGCAAACACACACAC